TCTCTCCGGAGATCATGCAGGAAATAGTAGTAATAGTAATTAGTAATGCCTACTATTGATGTGTTACAATCCATCCGCATAATGATATTTAAGAGAAAGGATATTTTGTGCTCTAATATGGTAATGCCTTGGAAGGTAACATCGTTGGATGTTATTGGTCGACACTGACAATCCCTGTTCTCGTTTATTAACACCTCGGTAGCACACATTCTATTGCGTTTTGAATCCTAGATTAATAATCAAGTAGTGTCCAGGAAACAACGTGTCACACGTTAGAGATAAATAAATATTAAAATGCCTGGGAGAGAAAAGAGCAAGAGTAAATTAAATACCCAACGAACCAAGGGGATCTCGTAGTCAATAGTGAATTTGTGGGTTATAAAACTGCTTTATTGGTGTCGAACGACTATCAACAAAACAATCATATAATTGAAAGTCGAAAATATGACAGTCCGCGTATTAGACGACTATTATCTTGGAATTACTGCAATCATCACGATTGCGTACCAAATGAGTTTTTTTGTGATTGCTTGGTTTTGTCAATTTGATAAAGTAACCGACTTTGCTGGTAATGGATTCGGATCCATTGTAATCGTTTGAACCAGTCTTGTATAATATGTAGTAACAGTTGTTATTTTTATTGCCAGGTGGATCGAACTTTGCTATCCTGGCGTTAATAACTTTGACATTCGGAGGCGTAAGTGTCACTCTTTGTAAATTTACAGACTGTCTTTCATCCGTAACATCTAACCCTATTTATTTACAGACATATTACGACAGACAAATAATAGCATCAGTTTTTGTAATTACATGGGGATTCCGTCTAGGCCGTAAGTCATTCGGACTAATTTTTAAGATCTTACGACTTCTAGAAAATATTTCTAATCGAAAACTCGATTCTAGTGTTCTGCCTCTACAGAATACTTAAAACTGGTCACGACTCTCGATTCGATGGTCGCCGCGAGAACTTTGTTTCATTCCTTGGTTTCTGGATTTTTCAAATTATTTGGGTCTGGACAGTATCATTACCAGTGACTTTAGTGAACTCACCGAGAGTTAGCAAAATGGAGTTAGACGGACGAGATGTTAAATTTGGAAGCGCTACAGACATTCTTGGAATTGTGCTATGGGTCATAGGCTTTTTATGCGAAACTATTGCTGATGCACAGAAGGTAACTATTGTATTTGAAAAAGTGAAAGAAATAAGTGATATTGCTAATATAAAATTAAACTCCTGATAAATCGTTGACTGAAAACCATATTTTTAGTTTCGGTTCAGACAGAATAGAAAATCGTCAAAAGAATTCATGAAGAGTGGAATCTGGGCATGGAGCAGACATCCAAACTACTTTGGGGAGATTGTCGTGAGTAATCAAAAGCAAGGCACGAACCGCTGCTGTAGTTTAAATTCACAATTATTAAAAAATTTTTTTTTGCGTCTCAGCTTTGGTGGGGAATATTTTTGCTATGCCTTGAGCCAACGCTATCGGGCATTACTAACGTCCCGTGGTTGTCGATTGCATCACCCGTTTTCACAATGAGTATGATTACATTCCTTATTTGTTCTTGTAACGTCTAAATTCACTCGTTCTAATTTATTCCTTCACTACTCGATGACGGGCTCTCCTAGTTATTCTGTTGGGCCTCTCGGGACTACCTTTTAATGAACGCCCGACAGCAGAGAAACAATATACTTCTGGAAATTGGGATAACTATTCCGTATATTTAAAAAGAACGAGCATACTTATTCCCTTCCCTCCGGCCATCTACGAGAAATTCCCGCAGTGGGTGAAGAGCACAATATTCCTCGAATTTCCTATCTATCGCTATACGCCACAGAATGACATGGCCTAACGGTCACAGAAAGGAGATTCGGAATTAATACAGGATTATAAATGTGACGTTGTAATTTACAAAGCATTAATATAAGAGGATTATTTTTCACATAAAATTTTGTTTAATCACAAGAAACCAGAATTAAAGCTAATTTTACTATAAATTACCAATGGTTTTACTCTAACTTGTTTGGCATTTAGTACTCAACATGTTAATAATGCGTGATTCCTAGATACATATTAATTGCTTATCTCAACAGCCTCTGTCTCTTACACAACCTTTGTCTTCGCCATCTGAACTTTTCTTCCTACTATTCAATAACACCATCATCCAGTCTTCCCTTCACCACCCTTCCACGATTCTCCGACACCTGCACTCCCCGCTCCATCCTTGCGACCCCACACTTTTCCCGCCAGTACTTTAAACTTCGTTGCGGCCGCGCCACCTCTATCAGTAATAAACCGCCTGTCGGTAGTCACTCCTGTTGCCAATGTCGTAACGTTAGCGAGAGAGTTTGTTATATAAGATCCCAGTTGCATCGATGATAATACAGAAGAGTTGTTTTGCAGATCATTATGTTGCGCAACGCGTTTCTGGAATAAGTCCGAGATGGCTTGCTGATCGGTTTTCTTTATGCCCTGGTGAAAAGGTGGACTTTTGTAAGCCATTGATTATATATAGATAGACGCAGACGAGAATTCATAACTGCTATCTAGTGTACCTTTAATTCCAAAATTTTTTGGAAGTTATTGACATTCTTATCTTTAATTAGTAAAATATAGTTGTTGACTATTGCTTCAGGATCGTCGTGCGAGAGAACGACCTTCAGAATAGATTCTATTTTTGCTATTCCCTTATTTACTAGCTTCACAAATCTAGAAGATTAAAAGTTGGTAAATAAAACGGCTTTTCGTAAGATAAGTATGTCAGCAAAATGATTTGACTCACGTAGTTGGTTGTTGCGCAATGTTATCTGAACTCATCATTGGCAATGTCAAGAGAGTCGTTTTTAAAGAATGGATATCAAGAAGCATCTATCGTGTGCGTAATATATAAGAACAGGAAATGGAAATAGTGTTATGTTACAGCAAAGATCGCAATTGATACCTGTTCAGCGCCATATGTTGATATGGGTTTACATTTTGCTAGATTATTAATTATTTGACAGAAGAACGAACTAAAAATAAGCGAATTAAAGGTGAGTAAAATATGAGCTCATTCCTTTTAACTTGAAGTCTTTCTACAACTTACTCGACGAATTTATCACAAAAACTCCTGAAATATCTCGGACTTGAAATATTTTCATTGATTAAAACCATGTACTGGTTCAATATAGTCTGAAGCTGGGATATGTATTCCGATTGATCGCCCACAGAGTCAAGAGTACCCCAGGGAATACGGGACATTGAAGATAGAGCTGGTTCACAACTTAATTCAACTCCTCTGACAAGAATTCTCAGTGCCGTCGAGATCACCCTGAAATTGTGAAATGAGGGATGAAAATTATTCAGGAAACAATTTGAATTAAACGTCTGTACGAGATCACTGCAAATAGAGAAGAGAGGCTTACGTTAAAAAAGATTCGCGTTCAACTTCAAGACTGACTTTACTTTTATATCCTTCATAAATTTTCTCGATTAATTTTTCTTCCAACTGAATGCGTAATTTTAGTAAGATATTTTTTAAAAAATTAGCGACGTCACAACAGTTCTTAATACATGCCTGCGAAGTCGTATTGTAACAATAATCTGCAGTGTTAATAATCATGCAAATAGACTTTAACTCATTCCAAGTCATCGCTCTTCTCTCATCCCTAGAATTTTACATAGTAACAAGTATTTTAACAACAATTCGCATGACCCATCATGTGTACCTCAGTTTTCCATCTCATCGTAAAAAAAAACAAACTTTGGCAATCTTCCAATTAAGACATCATTTGCGTAAACTTTCAGCCATTTCCCAAATACCAGGCATAGATCATAGAACGGTTTTCTAGTCGATAATTTTGCGCAGTTTGCAAGCGTTTCACGGTAGTAATAAAATAAATCTTTGCTTGAGGGAAGTACGGAGTTTGTAGAATCGTCTCCTGGGATTGATTCAGTAAGATAAGATGTAATCATATCCGACAGTAATCTTTGGATATGGTTTGTTTAGTCAAAAAGTGAAAGCGAAGATAGTTGCGAAGGAGGGATAAAGAAGGAACATTAGTTGGATACAAATATGACGTTACTATGAACAGCGAAATATAATCGGCCGTACTTGTCTTCCGCCTTTATATATATAGTAAGATGTGGTTCAAAAGAACAGGAAACGCTCCTTTCGAATTTAAACCGACTGGGTTCATCCGATTCTGCGTCATTCTACAATGTAAGTTATCACATTCTCTTGTTAATAAACGTGCTAACTTTTTAAGCAACAAAAAAAGTTAGCATAATTACCATTGAGCTAAATCTCTTTTCAATCTGTGCTTCAAACTCAATGGTCAATTGCAAATTTTTCAACAAAGTCTTTACATCCAAATCGACAGTTTTTTCAAGAACTTTGGTAAAATCTTCTCTGTATAAAATGTTAAAGCATTAGTCAAAGATAATGGCTCAAACTTTTTTGCTGACGAGAACAGACCCTTCAATATTACCGCGTAATTTCACAGAATTTAGAACATAATTCTTCACTCAAATGCCAACGAACCGGAAATATGGAAGCATGTTCTTCGTCGTAACTCTTGAGAGCTCGTTTCAACCATGCATACCGACGGGGTGTATTTTCGAGAGAGGCAATCTATAAGAATATAATCCCAGTCAGCACCAGATCTTTAGGTCAATCAATATATTCTGTAGATTGGCCATTTGTAAACGGACCTCGTCGTTTCCTCGGAACAAGCGCTTGTATTCGCGTAACTGCTGCTCGCAGTACCAATTTATAAGTTGAGTCCTAAAAGAATGCGACAATAATTAACTGTCTTGCACGATATTTGCGTATTATTGATCACAGTTCCTAAACCTACCTGACGTTTGCGCCCATAATATCGATCACTAAACATCCATCTGATAACGGTGCTGTTTGGACAGTCAAGCTTCCATCGGACGCAAAGCTGTTATTAAATAAAGGGTAAAGGCATATAATTGATATAACAGACAGGGCAAATTATTTGCAGCTTTCAAGTAAAACTTCACCTTGATTCAAAATCAAGAAATATTTGTTTTTTCAGGCCGTCCTGGAAGGCGTTAACTGAATTAATTAAGTCAGATATCTGGTGAATGCTTTTATAGCTCTTAAAAAACGTGATAAGTTGCAAAACTGCCTAGTGAGAAGAAATTGCGTTTCAAATTAGTTAACACGTTGATATTGAAAAAAAATACCGATGCAACCATACCTGCAGCAATTGCGCAGTCTCCCTGTACTGCTTCATCTCTGCCATTATTCTCAGTTGCCCTACTGCTGTGACTGTGCATCCATTAAAAATAAAATGACGATATTTCATTATTAAATATGCATGATGACAAATATTGCGCAATTCGCTTAATTACCTAGCATTTGTAAACGTTTTAAGGCAGTTATGGAAATAGTCAAATGCCTCTTAGCGTAATCAAGAGACTTAATATCTTGCGTTATCTCTTGCACCATAATCTCAGACTGAGTAGCTTTCTCCTTGATTTGCTTGATTCGCTCAAATAGTTCCTACACTTACAGAATTCAATGAACAGGTCGATATAAACTAGAAAGTTCTAACTCATGCAATATTCCATGAAATTGGCTAACCAATCTCATAGCGATTGTCTAACCTCGATAGCTTTTTTTGCTTGAATAACCTCCTCAACCCCTTGCTCGCCCACGCTTATTTGCGTTCTCGTTAGCTCTCTTATTTCATTCTCTAGTAAACGCATTTGCTGTTGGAGATTCTGTGACGCAACGTCAATTAATGACAATGATTGTTCTTTATTGAAGTAAGAATAACAAACATGAATATTATTGTGTTATGGTTAACTTGTTTCCTCTATAAGAATATCTTCATAACTGCCGTACCATTTGGTAATAACAAGTTTATGTATTTGATAGGATTGAAATCAGCATTATCCAGAGGATCACTAGTCTTCAGAATTCTTATTACAGCAGCCTCAAGATCCGCCGGAAGCTTGATATGATTTGTTTGATTCTCATCAGGATCAATTGAGCCTCGGGTTGATGTTGGACTCTCAGCTGGCATAGTCACATAACTTGGGAAAATCTATCCTATTGCTTTTTATAGAGTTACTTGCATTTCGTGTAACATTCCAACCAAACTTCGCAGTCCGGAGAAATCTGCACTTCACATCGGAGTTGCGCTTTATCAATTATCATTGAGACGTCCGCTATTTCTTTAACAGACAAGAGTAGGATGCTAATAAATGGCGACTAACCGATATATCTACATGCAACGCTAAGCCTCGTGCAAATGGCGTGAGAATCAAATCCAATAAATCCCCCCCCTTCCACGCAACTCTTGAGGAGAGAGGTTTTTTTTTTGTTCACACCAGACTGGTGTAACGATATGCGTAGAAATTTATAAATACCGAACGATGATGAGTCATATCCATTCAAATTACAAGATTATAAATTTCGTGTGAAGTTATGGGTAAAAATACGCCCAAGAATAATTCTCCAATCATAATACCAATTGCTCCCATCGAAGACGAACCATTATCCAGCATGGTTGAGAATGCAAAAGTAACGGCAACTGACACCTCGCCCCCGCTACCAGCATTAATGACCGAAAACGATAATCGGGAGATCATATTGCAATCAACAGGAAACGGAAATGGGGATTCCGAGGAGAGGAATTTGACGTATGTATGCGAATTTACGGTCAAAAGATTAGACAAACGGCTGGTGAGATTAAATTATGGAATTATGTTAGGTTGCATCATCCGGGACACTTCCGCGAAGATCCAGTTGGATTTATGATGGCGATGGGCGCATTTTATCAAGGAACCGTAAGTATGTCCATACAATTTATTTCCATTGATGTTTCTGGCTAAGGTTAATATTTTCCATTTAAAAGGGATGGAGAAGTTACAAAAATTATATTGGGGCGCGGATTCTATATGAAGGCTACACGGAAGAAACCAAAGAACGAGTGCTAAATAGCGAAAGAGGTTTTTATTATTTTCTCTTTGTCTTTCTTTGATATCTTTATTATGCTTTATAGAAGAAGAAAACAAATTGATTCTGGGTTTTTTAGTTCGTTACATGATTGCTTATCTTGCTGAAAAACAGGCCAATATACTAGCTGCTACGTCACCAAATGTCGATTTAAAGATTATCGGAAGAAAGAAGAAACATTTTGAGAAGGAGTTGGAGGCCGTAGCTAATCAGATGGTTGAGAAGCTCGTTGCCGATTTGAGTAGTTTGAGATTTATAAGGTTTGTGAGATTTCGGAATCTGTGAAAAGATATATTATCTGAAGGCTTGCTAAGACTTGAAAGATTTCATTCAGGTTATTTGGATTTTTCGTAAACAACATCCTAGTGAGAATGTACCATCAAGGCGTTCATATATCGGAGCGAGAGTTTTTGGAGGCAAGTAGGCTTGTCTATGAATCATCGTCTCAAGTTTTATTATGATTATTCTACACTACATCTCAGACGTAATCCGATTCGTTCCTCTTCATAGCTCCGTCGAGTAGCTATTATAGCTGCCCAGAACAACCACTCTCTTGTAATACTCCCCTGCCATAAATCCCACATCGACTACCTCGTTGTCTCTTACATTTTCTTTCGTCTTGGCTTAGCTCTCCCTCATATTGTCGCAGGTGATAATCTTAACTTACCCATTGTTGGACGCATTCTCAAAGGTGGTGGCGCATTCTTCATTCGCCGATCTTGGGGTGAAGACTTGCTTTACGGTTCTGTTGTTAAAGAATATGTCGAAGGACTTTTGGAACGGGGACATAACGTTGAATGTTTTATCGAGGGGACGCGGAGTCGAACGGGAAAATTGTTGCCACCAAAATTAGGTGTCTTGAAAATAATGTTAGACTGTGTATTATCCGGAAGGGCAAAGGATTGTTGGATTGTACCCATGTCGATCCAGTATGATAAAGTTATTGAGACGGAGACATATGTTAATGAACTGCTGGGGAATCCGAAAGAAAAAGAAAGTCTATGGGGGATAATGACGAATACGAGGCTGTTGCAGCTCAAGTGGGGAAGGATCGTTGGTGCGTGTTGGTATTCTTATTGAGAATTTGTATAATTGCTTGTAAAGGTTGTTGTGTGAGATCCGACCCATGGCTTCCGCAAGTTAACTTTGGAGGACAGGAATTGCGGTGACTTTTATTCAAAAACGGGTTGGCTCACACACAGCATGGATATGTGTTAATTGCTGATCGTATCCATAAATTTTCAAATACAGTGCGATTTGCAAAGCCTTATTCGTTATCACAATTCGTTCAGGCTCAAGTAGGGCGGAGAAGGTGAGGGCGCGTTGTTGGGTAATACGAGTCATTCCTGGATAACAAATTGATTTTCTGTTGATTTAGGGCGTTTGATCCGACCAACGAACAGAACAAAGTCATACTATTACGAGCATTAGGATATAAGTGAGTTACTGTTGTTCTTCGTTATTAATGCGTTGGCTGACTTGTGTTAACTCTCTTTTTCGCCTGTTTGAACAGAGTCTTGTCAGATATTGTAAGTTTAGACTTGGTAGCTGTTCTATGACGTGAATTTGAGTGATAATGATCCGTAAACTAAGGCTTTTTCCACATGAAAAAAAAAAAAAAGAATTCGGTATCAGTCGTAATGCCAACAGCGTTAGGTATACAAGAACGCATACTCCAGTCTCCAACCAGTTCCCATTAGGTTCGAACAAAATATACTTACACTTGTCCTTTCTTTTCAGTTGGCACCATAATTCTCACTTTGCGTGGTCGGGTACTATATTATTTTATATATAGATCCTCATTTCCCTTTCTTCCAACTTTATTGGCTAACTTTAAAACGCGTCAATTAGGGTGTGGGTCGAGCCGAATTAATCCGACGCGTGGATTGGCTGAAAGCCGCTATAGTAATGAAGGGAGGACATGTCGCTGATTTTGGTGACATGACAACGGGAGAAATAGTTGACCGGTAGGTAATAGAAGGGAGCGAGTGATGAATAAGAGCAATTGGCTTGGATAACTGACGATTAATATTATTCAAGCGCAATGAATGTATTAAAGGACTTGATAAAGGAGAGAAAAGACTTGCTGGAGACTGTATTTTGTGCAGAGAATCGTTTCGAGTTAAGTTTCTATCGTAACCAGGTTTATATTAATTAAAATTTATTTAAACGTCAATGTCTTTTGAAGTGAATCATATATTGCTCTATATGCTAATGATTATCTGTTGTAGGTTATCCACTTGTTTGTTTCCGAAGGTAATTCTAATATTGATTATTACCATGTTTAATATGCTCGGCGTTCATTGACATAAAACTTTACGTCCAAAGCTATCGTTTCTGCGGCCATGTACACAAAAATCAAAATCGGTGGATCAAAATCGACGCAAAGATTCGACTTTCATAAATTGCTGGAAACCGTGACATTTTTGTCCCAGTTACTCAAAGTGGAATTTGTCTATCGACCGGGAGAGATCGAAAACAACTTGTATGATACTCTGGAAGGGCTTGTGGTCAGTGCAGTGAAAGGGAATCAATGTTTTCATGCCAATAAAGCAAAGTTAACCGATAGTCTGTCCGATCGTATAGAAAGATAATGTTTTCGTTTTCGAAGATGGTACCGTAGGATTATCGGATGCAGAAAGGGCTATTGGTAGAGAAAACTATGGTTGGTATAATACAGTGTTGTGGCACGACGTATGATACGATGCTCTAATGACTTTGTTTACTTCCAAGATTTTTACTGTTTCTTAATATGGCCATTCATCGAGACCTACTGGCTAGCTGGTAAGGACATATACCCAATACGATTAATGATTTCAGTGGTGATCAAATTATGATATAAAATTATTAATACAAATATTCGTTCCAGCTGTAAGTCTTTTCTCAATGACGCCGCCCAGGTCTGCCACACTCCAACAAAAGAATGCGATAACCAAGAAGAATCCAGTTCCTATCACTTGGTTCGATGAACGAGACTTTCATAACAAGTGTCAGCTCTTTGGCAAAACCCTTTATTACCAAGGTGATCTTTCGTACTTTGAGGCAGTAAACAAAGAAACACTCAAAAATGCATTTATCCGATTAGAGGAGATGAATATCATACTGGTGAAACGCAGTCGAAATACCAAAATACTTCCGACCATTGCTTTGAATCCGGAGTACGTTCCAACACGGAATGCTCAAGGAGCGATAGAGCCAAAGGGAAAGTTATGGGATTTAGTCGAACAAATCGGCAAGTTCAGACGGGAAGGCAAGAATAGGAGAGATAATGCAACTGTCAGTTTTCGAGTCTTACGATTGGCGGAAATTGTCGGACAACCGTCTACGGCTGATTTGGGAGTTATGAATAATTTAATGGGTCGATCAGTCAAGACTGCACAGCCAGAGGCTAAATTGTGAATTAAGAATGGTATTTGAAATTGGTAGTTGGGGAGTGACAGGTTTAATAGTATTAGTTATATCGCGATGATGGTGATTACAGAAAAAAACTATTTATTTATACCTTACGCGAGGTTTAGTCTGATTCTACTATATAGAATGAAATTTTCGTTGCCTAATATATACTCATTATTAATAGATAAAAGTAGTAGTTGTTTTTTAAAAATCATGTTTCACAAGTCTAACAAAGCCATTCTGGATGTAGTCTTTGAACTATTTGAGTGTCTAATCTAAAAATCTATATAGTCTACCTATAAATAAACGAAGGTACAGAAATAATGCAAGATCGAAATTCCATTTTGTTGCCCATCTCAAAGGAAGATGTTTATGATCGGGATGAAAATACGCGGGCTCCTCATATCGATCGAAGGTGCTTCTAGACTACTGTTAGCAAGATAAGGGTTACTAAGTTGACAACTGTAGGTTTCTAAAAACTAATCCGATCACTTTTTATTCAGAAGCAGATGCTTAGATTTCAACCAGTTTAAGGGCCAATCGTAGCGTTCTTATGGAATGGGCAATTTCAGAACATTGTCTATGTCAACAAACCAAAGGTCACCTCATTAGCAGCCATACGCATAAAATATATCACATACACTAACGCACTATCTCTTCATCTTCACTGTTGGTTTACCTTTATTATGAACGGCATATATAAATGTAGCTATTACTTCATTTTCAATGGGTTTCATGGCAGCATAATGTTTACTCACTGCCTGAACAAGTTGCTCTTTCGTAGCTGGTTCATTTACCTTTAGGCGGTGTATTCTTTTATATCGACGCAATACTGAGATATCAAGAGTATTAAAGTCAAGCTGCGGAACGAAAGCGAAATAATTGGTAAATAGCCTGTGCGCCACGCGGGACAGTCCCTTATAATACTCTTTCGACCTTAATCCCATACATACCGACGACATACTCACCAGTGCTATCTCCCTTGTGACGTCTTTTCCCTTTCCGAACCTTTTCATAGAGCCCGATGCGCCAGTACTCGAGCTTGAGGATAACTCTCTGTTGTGGCTTCCGCTGCCGTCATTGTTGTATGCCCTTGAAAACGACATGCTACTTTTTGTCTTTGAGATCAGTTTGAAAGAAAAAGAATTGTTATATATATAAAGTTCAAATTTCAGGTTGAAAAAATTGCGCTGTCAGCTATCAATTAATTGGTCTAAATTACTTAAATCTTGGTTTTGTTTTCTAATTAGGATAAAGCGTAGTAGATTAGTTATAAAAGACCCGTATGAAGATTATTACGTGTCTTATACGTTTTCATTTTCTTATAATACTTTAATAAGCATATTATTAAACTCTTGTGAATAATATTACACACTTGCTTAGAGTGGACAAAGCAAAGAGTGTTTTCCTTTGTTTAGTACCAGGGGCAATAAAGGGTCTGACAAGATTAAAGTCTGTTATTCTGTATGCAGATACCAACAGATAAACTCGCTCATGTTTCTAAATAACTATCAATGCTTTTGAATGAATATAATACACCAGGAAGGAAAAGTATCTATTAGGAAGAAGACTGTTGTCACTTTTGCACAGATGCATAATAGTTATGACTGTTGTGCAATTACACATTTGTACAGCGAATTAATAACATTTACAGTCATCCCCTCGTTTATAACCCAGCTTCGAATTCCCCTATTACTATTACTTCTCTTTCCCCATATACTATAGAAATACAGTATATAGTGATTATATCTCAGTTATATCACCTCGGTAAATATATGTCAATTGTGTTACATAAATATCACATCGTTTCTATCTATAATTAAACTATCTTTTGTTGGTTAGTGCATTAATGCTGTGCGCACGTTACTTGAGGACGCGACAGGCTCCATTACAAACGCGATGGAGATTGACGAAATCGATGAGATTGGCTTTAGCTCTTATTGCTTAAAACTGGTAGACTGCTCAATGGATATGACAGTGTCTGAATATGTCGAGCTTGACAAGGGTTAATGTACTGTATCTACATAACAGGAAGAGTTTGAAGAACTTCTGGTGGCTGAAGGTGTGTCGCAGCAGACGCTAATGCAAATTGAAAAGACTCAGACGAAGAAGAGAAAGTGTCAATTTCTATACAAGAGGGAAGACAAGCACTTGAGACAGCTAAAAAATTTTAGAATAAAAGGAATTTCGCGACTGAAAACGATATGAGATACAGTACATGAATAATTTAGATGCGTTATACTATTTGTTATATCCCACTTCAGATATATCCCCAAAAAGTCTCCGTCCCAAAGTGGGGATATAAACGAGGGATGACTGTATTATAATAGCATGTCCATTAAGAGTTTATTTGCATTTAAGAATTGATTCGCATAATTATCGTTTCCAATGTCGCCGGTTAGTTGGGATTTTCGCACAAAAAATACTGTAGCATTTTATCCACTAGCAAGATTGTATTCGTAATAGATCCTTCCAAGTAAAATCTTTTTTCTACTTTCTATAGCAATACGATTTATCTTGTTTGGCTCATATAGTGTTAATTTGTTTTTCGATCGACAGCAGGACTCAACACAATTTTCTTTTGATAACTCTAAAGCGATTCTTGTCTCAAAGACTGTCGCTGTGTATATATTTGAGTATTTTATTTTTGCAATTAGGATTTGTTTCTGATAATAATAACGTGGGGTTAGACATCGATTAGGAATATTCACTTTTTGCCTCGTGGATATTCTTGTGTTATTTGCTAACTCGAGGGCGAATAACCGTCTACGGTTAGTGTCTATTATTGATATACTGTTTAAAGGGTCAATAACAGTTGTTCGAAAGATAGTTAATTTTAGAGTTAACGATTGCTTGCTCTCCCGCGATTGTTGACCCATCCAAACGCTACGCACAAAATAATTGTAAGTGATGTGGATTACACGAAACAGTTTCTCGCACTTTCAATAATACGTTCGCAGATTTGCGCAAATGTGGTGATATGAATTATTCAACACATTTACATCATTCGCTGGTGACCCAATAAAATAACTCTCTTTACATCCTACTGACGTAATTATAAGTAAAAGATAAAAATTTTACTAGTAAAACAGACGAAAAAAATTTTTTCCCCAAAAAATCTCTATTATCTGTATTTACTATATGATTTGGTACCATGTTGAAGCTAATTAATTGTACTTTTTAAAAATAAAGTTATGAATTAAGTTATTACTTATAAAGCAGTTTAATAAAATTGACAGCATATACAGTATTAGTATGGGACAAAAATCTTGCCTGCAGTAGAATTACACTGACTTTATAACCAACAAGTGAAGTAAAACTCAAATATTTGATTCAAAAACTGCAAAATGTACAGATTTTATTTATAAAAATTAAAATAGGAATTCGTTTACTATTACTTTTAATAATTGCCTCACAATATCTTTTCATTATTAAAATTTTGTGCATTGCTTTTCTACAGTTGTTTTAACTATGCTTTATAGATTTTCTATTGGATGTATATTCAATGGCCAGTCAACAATAACATAGTTGCCTGAAAAAATTGTTAAGTGACTGAGCTTGTATGCCTTGGATCATAGTCTTGTTGGAAGCACCAGACTCTTCCGAGCATTTGTTATATTTCAGGTAGATGTCTCTGAAGAATTTTGACATAATAATAGATTGCCCTGTCATTGTATGTTGAGCATTACACATGACTATCAAGGGGTATTATGTATGACTTTCATACATTTATATTAATATTGTAACATAAACGTTGCCACTTTATCAAACTGCAGCTTTAAAATAATATCAGGGAATTATATAATTATAGTGGGTTACATATACATAGTAAATACAGACAACAGAAATTTTGGAAAAAAAACCAACTTTTATGTTAGTTTGTAATTTTGACAGGGGTTGTTATTTATATTGTGTATATTAATATACAGTCAACTCTCTCTAAATGCACTCTCTCTAAATGCACACTCTCCTTAAGTGCACGGTATTTCAAATTCCCAACCTCGGAAATTAGTGATAAGTGCACACTCTCCCTATTCTGCACGTGCAACTGATTTCATAATCCCAAGGCCTCATTTCAATATGAAAATATTCTCCG